CACCCCCAGAATGCATGAGGCAAAATAGATCAAGTGTGCTCTACGAAATGAGCCATTATGAACTGTTGTGGCTTGCTGTTGATGTTGTTCACTGAGAACAGAGCGCAGGTGCTCCATCATCATGATGAAGCTTGACTCGAGTAGCAATTCTTGAAGGAATGCTTTTGCCCAAAGCCTTGCCTCCCGTTGTTCAAACAAAGAACTTGTGAGATCTGTTAGTGCTCAGAGTATGTGTTGAAAACAACTCCCACCTACCACCACAACAAATTTTAATTCAATATCTGCAGAAATGACCAAGTTAAAACATTTTCTGCGTTTGTCAAAGCTGATCATCTGTGGCAGCCATCTCGAATCAGATTAAATCTTAAAGGTAATCAGTTGTAGATGTGATTCAAATGATTACTTTCAGGGAGGGTCAATAAAATCTGTCCAGTAAGTCACGAGATATTTTGCTAACAGACTGACAGATGACACGCACTCACACACAAACATACAATTGCATTAGCTTTTATGGCAGTGGACTATAAAGCATTTAAATAAGAACAAAACATGAAGATTGGGACACATGTTTGTGATTACCTGGCTGATACATCAGTGAAATGCACAAAAGATGAAATGACAACACCAATTCTTCCCTTGCCACCCTGGAAAAATAAAGAAAGAAAGAAAACACGTGAGAAATGCCACAAATGGTCTCCAAGTTTCCATACATTGCTGAAATTACACTGCTTTGGGGGTGTTTTAATAGTTTTTTTTACTAACCAGAAGCCAATTTTCAGTTTGATTGACTGTTTGGAAAAACTGAAAAAGACATTTTCTTTATATTTATGGTGCGAGATTCAACTATTTCTGAGCTTCACTGACACAAAGTTGAGTGGATCGAGTTTTATAAAACTCTTGGGATGAGCAGAAAGAACAGTTAAGAGTTTGTTTCCGTCCATCTTTGAACTCACAAAGTTTCCTGCTGTTGTTCATAATAAGAGAATCCAACAAGTCATCCCATGTGACGGACTGAATGATGCACCACATGTTCTCCTGGAAACATCTCCTTGGACGTGACTAAAGAAAGGTAGAATTTTGTGCTACCCAAGTAAAAACCTCAAGCTGTTTTTAAATCTCTTTAAATACAGATTAAGTGTGCATTACTAAATGGTTCAGGTGTTTGTTTGTGCCTCTGAAGTCCAGAATGTCTAAAATTCTGCTTAGTTGATGATTTGACGATCTTTGTACCTCATTTTCTAATATTGAAAAAAAAAAAAAGATTAGCCATCAGCAATGTGTTGAGAAGCAAATATAATATGCCATAATCACATATTCTAACAAATAATGAGCTTTATTCCACCATACATAGACAGCGATAGAACATAATGTCTTTGTGTTCTGTTTTTGTTCACTTATATCTATATTTAATTCCAGTATTTATTAATAATCATATTTATTTGTTGCCAGTATTTGTTGTCTCCTTTGCAACATTACAAATATTATAGGTGTGATAAAAAAAAAATTCAAATGAATTTGACAAAAATATTGCATCATCACAATCGCTGTAAAAGAAATCTGAAGAAACATCAAGATTTGTATGTATTTTAGCCTAAATATTGTTTCATACTTATTTTGTCAGAAACATATACAGTTACAAATGAAACAAAGCATGTCCAACATTTTGAGTCAACTTACAAATGTAAAACGGGGATAAATCAGGATGATGTAACTGTATGAAAAGCAGGAAGTGAAAACCAGAGTAGGTCAAGGATGCTCACCCTGCAGTGGATGACGACCACGTGTAGAGGGTCAGCATTGAGCCAGCTCTCCATGGCCTTACAGATGGTGCAGATCTTGTCCAGAGGAGGAGCGTGCAGATCTGGCCAACCCGTGTCCAGAGTCTACAAAACATTATTTATCATCACAAACACCATCTATTTATCATGCTCTCTGCCCCTCAGTAGGCTACAATAGCAAGATAGGTAGACTTGATTCAAGATGAAATACAGTATTTTGATGAATATTATGCACAGACCTTTAGTGCTCTTTCATAAATTTATTATGCTGTTGACAAAAGGTTCCCAAAACAAAACAAAAAACTTACCTTCGGGTTCATTTTAGAGAGGTCATGCCTTTTCTCTGACAGGTTAATGATCTAAAAAGAAAAAACAGAACATAACACAATGCATGACTTCTAATGACCTCTCTGCTGTTTTCTGCTTAGCATGAGTTAAAACACACAATCTGAAATTGATCCTTTCATTCAGTATCCAAAGGAAGTCCATCACAGTTCACATTGATAACGTGCAAACTTTGGTGGCACATTATAAGGCAATAGTGCAAAAGCACTGACCAGGTAATTATCTGCATGCTTGGACTTGAGCATCCGCGTGACGTCCTTCAGGTTGTGCGAGTAGATCTCCTCGGAGCAACCCCGGGGGAAGGAGACAGCAATGATCCGTTCTGTGATGTACGTGAGGTCCAGCTCGTATCCCTCTTCCATTGTGAATGGCTACTGCTTAAAAAAAAAATCAAAGCAGATTTGCAGAAGGATAAGACCGTTTAATGGTATTACACCATTCCCTGTTTTGGCAGGTGACTTTACTTGAGTCAATATTTAATGGTCAAAGTCCTTGGCTTTAGTCATCCAGGCTTTCTACAGATATCTTTAGAGTGACTTCAGCTTGAGACTGTATAGAGAATGTCTTGTTTACATAGCAACGGCCAACGAAATGTGTCACAAGTACAGTACTGGTTGAAACTAAGCAAGGACCTTTTAGAACATGACAGATGATTGCTACTTATCTGTGCTGTGAAAAGAGCAACTGGAATCAGAGATTGGACCTGACAATCTGGTTACCACAGACAGTCAGTCGCAGCAATGATGACAAAGGTAGAAATAACAGATGAGTTCCAGTTGAAACCAGTTGTTGTAAATCCTAGTGTGGCAGGGTGCACCCGTGACCTCATAGATGTGAACTTCCTGTCTACATCTGCCACCTCACACACAACCCACAGGCACATCTTTGTGCAATATTCTGCTGGAAAACCTTGAGTCCTCACATTATTACAGATGTACCTCTACAGAGGTTTGGCCTTGTTAAATACTAATCAAAAATCAAGCATTACCCTTTATAGTACCGGTAATACATTTTCCCAAGAACAACTCATTCCCATCATAAAACTGCTCAAGAAAAAGAAGGATGCAAAACTCCAGTCCAACTGAGCATTAGGCACTAAAACAAGGTCCAAGTCTGCAACTCAGAGGCACTAAAGGATTTTCCAGACAACACAGGTCACCTCAAGAATTCAGAGGTACAGAGCTACTTCCATAGCAGAAACCTACTAAATACTCAAGGAGATGCTTGTAATGTGGTAAAGTGTTCTGTATTCTTTAATATTTGTAGATCTAAACTTACTGGCATTCAGAACATTTCTCCAAATAAAACCCACTAAAACCCAATTCAAGTGACCTCAGCTGTTTGCTGTAATTAAGTGATCCACAGTCAAGACTATCCGTCTGTTAAGTTTGAGATGGTTCAAAAGTACAGTTCATCACTTTGAAGGGGTGTGGTGAGAGAAATAAATAAGATGCAGTGTAGCCATGACTGAAACCAAACCTCAGAGTGGAATGAAATGGGCCAAGTGCAGATGTCAACTCTGTGGGAAACTGGGCTGTGTTGTTATTCAATGGGAATGAAGTCATGGGCAGATCCTCAAGGATCGTTGGAACAAAAGTTTGATTAAGTCTATAACCTGTGGGATTTGGCCCCCGGACCGCCAGTTGAATAGCCCTGGTCTAAACAACATACTTTAAAGAACTAGGTTGGCAATTTAAAATGATCAGCATTTGAGTTCTTTAGAGATTTTAAAGAAAATCTTTTATTCCACTCCGTTAGGCAAAACAATAAAACCAAGATTGGAGCCGATGGATTCCTAACTTAGTAAAAATTGTTAGATTTGATTGTGCTGCACCTAAAAGTCCAAATATTTTGTAATCTTTTAAATAAGCATTTCAAACTATGCTAATTATGTTGCTAATACAATGAAACAAATCAAAATTAAAAAAAATATATATTACAATCATAAATATGTCAAGTCTCTTTTTAATTGAAGATGTTTGAGACATTTTGTGCAGCTTTATCTGTGAATACCTTTTGAGACTGATCCCAAGTCAAATTTTGGTGTGCTTGATAAAATTTCAAGATTAAGTTTTAAGGTTTTTTCAGTATTTTAGAGGTTTAAATTCTTATGCATTTGGACTAATGATTTCACTTAAATACACAGTCACATAAACTTAGATGTTATTTACTTGAAGAAACGTAGATTATGTTTGTGTGTGTGTGTGTGTGTGTGTGTGTGTGATTTTATTAACGGGAGTTTAAAGATAAAAGTCAGCAGGAAAAGTTCAGAAATGTGTCACTTATCTTAGTAAATAAAATGTGCATCAGCAGTCTGCACTCAACTGACAAACTGTACAAAAGATAACTTCAATTTCAATTTCAATTTTAACTAACATTCTGACAGATAAAAGTGAATTAGACTTGGTAGAAGACAGTCTATCAGTTTCTTCAGCCTTTTACATTCAAACAATAATAAAGTAAAAGTACTGAATGTCCTTTTGAGTCCTTTTGATTCAGTGTACAGGAAACTTTCAGCAAGCATCCAGTTGGACATATTGGAGACCAAACAAGAGACTCATGGCTCATGCAACACGTTCTTCTATTGATGCAAAATACCTAGATACAATTCAATTACCAATGAACCTAGAATGGATGTTTGTGGTCTTTGTGAGGAGTAGCCCAAGTAAACCTCTGCAGGCATGGAAAGAACAGATTCACCCATAAAGGTCCCACACCAGGATTCAGTCCTGCAGCCCTCTCGTTGAGAGCCAACAGCTCTAAAAACTGCACCACTGTGACCTCCCCAGTCTATAAAACTTCACATTTAAACTCTTTCATGCTTTCTCCATGCTTTCTGGATGTTGTAGGGTTGTGTTGCCTTACACGACTCTGCAATATTGCGTGGACATCGGGGGAAGTTCCCCTGAATTTGCAGACTGGGGTGGTGGTCCCCCTATTCAAAAATGGGGACCGTAGAGTGTGTTCCAACTACAGGGGGATCACACTCAAGCCTCCCTGGTAAGGTCTATTCGGGAGTTCTGGAGAGGAGGGTCCGTCGGATAGTCGAACCTTGGATTCAAGAGGAGCAGTGCGGTTTTCGTCCTGGTCGTCAAACATTGGACCAGCTCTACACTCTCAACAGGGTCCTGGAGGGTGTGTGGGAGTTTGCCCAACCAGTCTACCTGTGCTTTGTGGACTTGGAGAAGGCGTTCGACCACGTCTCTCGGGGAACCCTGTGGGGGATACTCTGGGAGTATGGGGTACCAGGACCTTTGACATGGGCTGTTAGGTCCCTGTATGACCGGTGTCAGAGCCTGGTCCACATTGCCGGCAGTAAGACGAGCTCATTCCCGGTGAGAGTTGGACTCTGCCAGGGTTGCCATTGGTCACCGATTCTGTTCTTAACTTTTATGGACAGAATTTCTAGGCGCAGCCAAGGTGTTGAGGGGATCCGTTTTGGTGGCCTTAGGATTGCGTCTCTGCTTTTTGCAGATGATGTGGTCCTATTGGCTTCATCAGATCGTGATCTACAGCTTTCGCTGGAGCAGTTCGCAGCCGAGTGTGATGCAGCCGGGATGATCAGTTCCTCCAAATTTGAGGCCATGGTCTTGAGCTGGAAAAGGTAAAGTTGGGGATGAGGTCCTGCCCCAAGTGGAGGAGTTCAAGTATCTTGGGGTCTTGTTCACAAATGAAGGAAAAATGGAGTGAGAGATCGATAGGCAGATAGGTGAAGCGTCTGCAGTGAAGTGGGCGCTGTACAGGTCTGTCGTGGTGAAGAGAGAGCTGAGTCAAAAGGCGAAGCTCTCAATTTACCTATCGATCTACGTTCCTACCCTCATCTATGGTCATGAGGTTTGGGTTGTGATTGAAAGAACGAGATCTCGGATACAAGCAGCTGAAATGAGTTTTCTCCGCAGGGTGTCTGGACTCTCCCTTAGAGATAGGGTGAGAAGCTCGATCATCCGGGAGAGACTCAGAGTAGAGCCGCTGCTTCTCCTCATCGAGAGGAGCCAGTTGAGGTGGCGTTAGGATGCCTCCTGAACACCTCCCTGGTGAGGTGTTCCGGACACGTCCCACTGGGAGGAGACCCAGAGGAAGACCCAGGACACACTGGAAGGACTATGTTTCTTGGCTGGCCTGGGAACACCTCGGGATTCCCCCCGGAGGAGCTGGCCCAAGTGGCTGGGGAGAGGGAAGTCTGGGCCTCCCTACTTAAGCTGCAGCCCCTGCGACAATGGATGGATGGATGGATGGATGGATGGATGGATGATTTCTCCATTGCTACGATGTTCTATAATTCCTGGACTATTGAGCGCACCTGCATATAAGCAGCGCAATAAATAAAAAAAATTAAATTTTGTACATATATAGGTCGTGCTTGTTTATAAGCTGCAGGTGTCCAGGTTGTAACAGGAAATATTTACGCAAGGATTTTAAAAAAACTTTTAATTAAATATGTACCGATAACATACACAGATACGTACAGTAAAAGTTTTTTTCTGAACAGTGTCTATAATGACGCTGGTTAAAAATAAATAAATACAGTAGCCAACCAGGAAACGCCTAGTTTACATGCAGCAGCTCTATTTTCTTCTTCAACAGCCAGGTCAATCACCTTTAACTTAAAAAGCTACATCATCTGCATTTTTTGTGTTTTCCATGAGGAAAGTGTGTTCAAAAAGTGCAGAATAGCTGACCTGAAGAATTTAGTGAGAGTGTGTTTCATTTACGGTAATTCGAAGTTTCATTTGTCCACTGTGACCTGTTCGGTAATTTCATTGGTCAAATTTTATTTTTTATCTTTTTTTATACAGTACAAGTAGTCTCACTGAGTCATGAGGACCCACCCCTCAAGAGAGACGTGTATTGGGCAGCTATGTGAGCGCCCGAGTGTGACGAAGCTAGGAATGTGCGATATGGCAGAAAAATTCATATCACGATATGTATTGTGAAGGGTGGCGATAACGATATATATCGTGATATGTTTTGGGTATAAAACTTGCAATAGGAATTTTAAAAAGCATAAGGTGTCCTTTTGCCATCATATATTTTGAATTAAGAAAATTCCACTACTAGGTCCAGAGAGTTTTTAAATAATAAACAAATCAATTATTAGGCTTCTTTCTTGTGCAAAAGATATCAAATGTAGTTTTAGCCCTATGTTTTAAACAAAAGAATATGTTGTTAATTCTTTTTAACAGTTTCCAGTCTTCTCACTTGACAAATGAACAGCAACAGAGCAGCATTTTACACGGAAACACTTCACCCTCCAAACCTCTGGTGGACGCCTCCTTCCGCTTTAAGGAGAGCTGACACAAAATGAGTCTGTGGCTTTGACCAGAGGGTCTCGCAGTAAAATCACACAACACAGAGTTCTTTTCACAGATCAGAG